AGATTAACATGTTTTCATTTTACTTTAAGGTATTTTTATCAATTTTGTGCATTGTATAGTCTGGTACACACAATTAAAAACTGGGCACGAAAATGTCCTAATTTTTAGGTTTAAAGAGGTCTGCAATTTTCTGTAAAGATCTGTAAGGTTACGGACCGCTACCATGTGGTTCAATACATCCTAAACATCTAAATTTTCATTGGTTCATTTGCCTTTTCTTGCCTTACCGTGAGTTATGCATTTTTTTGTGACGCAAGATCGAGGATTTTATGCTAATTTCTTATATTGGATCACTCACGTGCCAGGTATTGGCGATTCTTGCATGTTAGCATCAATGCTCTTTCTCATTGTAAATACACTAACGAAAATCGATTTTAGGTTAGGATTTTCGATATATATCGATTCTATCGTAGATGTGTTCATATGGATGAAAGGCAGTGTTGCCAAATTGCAAGCATGCCGTATAATGGCGCTATCCTACGCTAATCTTCTTATATTGTTATTATAGATGTCCATACAACTGCGGCCCGACTTCTGGGGTTAAATTATGCCTGATTCTGAATAAAATTTTCTAATTCAAGGTTTTATTCCGGCTTTGCCTTTATATCTTCTAATTTCTGGCAAAAGAAGTGCATTCTTCAAAACAATATTTTCATTGGTTCCGCCAAAAAATACGCGACAAGCAGAAGACTCCTGAATTTTCTGGACATGTCTGGAGGGTTCAAATGGTCAATTTTGTGTAAGAACACACTCTGAAATTTTGGACATTCTTTGGTTTACTCGCAATTTTTTGCAATTTTCTGAGCAATGAGTATTTTCGTTGGGCGAGATAAGATTCAATACTATAATTACGCTGAAAAATACGCGACATGCAAACGACTCCTGAATTTTCTGGACATGTCTGAAGGGTTCAAATTGTCAATTTTAAGTAAAAGCACACTTTGAAATTTGGGAATTTCTTTGGTTCACTAGCAGTTTTCGGCAGTTTTCTGGGCTATGAATATTTTCGTTGGGCGAGATGAGATGCAACGCTAATTCTGCTGAAAAATACGCGACATATATTTCCCATATCGACGGTGAAACTACCAAACCACGTATCTCGGTTTGCGACGTCGCAGACTTCCTGTCATACTTTATTTTTTAAATGAAAAACTACTTAACATCCAGTCTTGAAAATTTCTGTGATTTTTCCTCTTTGTGCGGAGAAAATTCCGTGAAAATTTCAAGGAATGATATTGATTTGGTCTACTTCGAAAAAATAAAATGTGAGCGTAGATTTTTAAACACCGCAAACGAGATACGTGGTTTGGTAGTTTCACCGTCGATATATTACCCAGAGATAAATCATCATTTTTCAAATTTTTTGAATTTTAAACTGAAAAATGTTGAACAAAGAAAGCAAAACTGTAATTTACTCACCAAAATAACCCTCAGAAACCAATTTCTTCACACAAAACAAACTCAGGTACCTCTGAAGATTTGAGTGAAAAATTGCATTAATTACCCGTTGATAAAGCAATTTTTTTTAATAATTCTCATCAAAAACTTCAAAATTTCTTAAAAGAAACCCAAAATATGGATTCAGCGACCTAAATTACCCCTAAAAACACATATTCTCTCCTATTAGTAAGTTCAGGCGCCTCTGAGGACTTTTGTCCGGCTAAACTTGGCTGCTGGCCCTCCGTGCCGCGCCGCCACACGAATTGTGCGATATTTTATTCATTACTACATTGTTCATGTTGGTTTAGTTAAAATAATGTGTCTAATTGTCAATTGAGTGCAATTATTATTTTAATCCCGCTTAAATACTCGACTTAAAATAATTTATCTTCCCGCGCAAACTAGTCCCAGGACTGTATGAGCTCCGTCCCGTGGAGACAGTAACTGGGAAAAATCCCAGAAGTTTCACTCCTGCGATTCGAACTTGGGACAAACCTCATGAAAACGTCCCGTGGAGACAAGGCCTTAGGTACACTAAGTGCGAATCAGGTAAACGAAGGGTGTCTCAAACCAGAGAAAGATTAAGTTCAGTTGAACTGCTTGCTTTGAAAACTGCCTAGCTCTATTGTGACGTTTCAATTCCTTTCATGTATTTTCTTTGGCACAAAAAATCTAATTAAGTAAGATACTCATCCAATGATTTCTTAATATTTTCTTTCAAGAAAAGAAAAATGGAATTATGGAAAGTTTCTGTCAAACATGTTGACTGATATCGTCAGAGAAATTGAGACATGAAGAAAAAAAATTTCATGTGGCTCCGAAGGCGGGCAGTTTTTAATACCCGTCATTTAATTATGGGTGTTTCATGATTTTCACCTTTCTCATTGAAGTTCCACCTCTACTTGATAGCATGGGATAAATATGGTCGGAGACGTCATTTTATTAAAGTAAATAGAATTTGCAGTGTAAGCACTTAAAGGCAATTTAAAGATAACAGGAATATTTTGGCTTTGCAGTGTGCAGTGCGGATAAAATGAAAGTACTTTGACTTCAACAAAACCATAAAATGTTCATGAGGTAGTGAACTTCCTCTTTCCAGTTTTGGCATTAAAAACTTTGACTTATTAAAACTTAATTTAAATCAATTAGACTAAATAGTCTAATTACAGTTACTCATAAATCATCACTCAGACCTCTACTTCTGCACAGGCTGTCACTCATAGCAGTGTAGCACAGTTGTGTCGGTTTTGTAACCAACACAGTGTAACAAATTTTTATAAGGTTTGAACTTAAACATATTCAGTGCATGGAAGATTTCATTGAACTGATTTCCAAGCAAACTTCAAAACATCATGCCTCCGTCACTTTTTACGTTTGAGAGGGGGGGGGGGGTTTCAAAGTTATCCTAAATGTTTGTTTTAACGCCGCACACAAGGATGTATGCTACATAATTGTGGATTTTTGGACTAGAGTTGCACTTAACAGATCTTATTACTTGTATAAACAGAAACATTGAAATTAGTTATTCTGTTTTTCTGCTTTTTTTTTGGTGGACACCATTCTTCTCCGTAGAAACATGATCCCATTTTAAAATATTGGTTTGATCCTTTTGTCCTCTTTTTGCTCACAAGAAGTAGCAGGTTTTTTTTGCCAAGCCAGGGACTTTTATCCTGCTCGGTAGACTTTTTTTCTGAAAAAAAAAAAAAAAAAAAAAAATGTTTAGCGAAGAGAGGGTAATAGTGCAGGTGCAGGTTTACATTTGTATGCTCGTTTGTGGGAGAAGTAAGTTTCATATCAATGGCCACAGTCCCAATAAATCTAGATTCTCAAATGACTTTTGCTCCTATCCTCAAAGAATGAAAGGGTAAAATGCTGTCATCAAGTTTCCCTTCCCTCCGGCGAACGTGAAGGTTTAAATTTGGAGTACAGTAGTCTGTCATGAAAATATTAGGAGGAAATTTTTCATTTATCAGCAATAGAGCTCATACTTCTTCACAGCAAAACTTTGCGTATGTGTGGAAGCGTGTTTTTTAATGCTCATTGCACCGAAACTCACTGAATTACTAAGAAATCAGGGAGTCAGTGTTTTTCTCTAATAGTTATTGTGAATGTTGACAGATGTTTAAATACAAGTTTATTAAGTAAAGAAAGAATGAGAATGAAATCAAAATAAGAGTAACAAAATCAGGCAGGAAAGAAAAGTTCTTGCAGGCTTTAAAACGCTTCATCAAGTAGAAATCTTTGCAGAAATTAGAAATCTAGGGGTGCTTACCTATTAGAAATTACAGAGGAAATGGAATAATGAAAGTACTCATTGTCACTCGGGGAATACTTGAATAATTCAGTTAACAAATCCCATATTCACTTACAAATCAAAATAAGGAAAAAAAAGTATTAAGCAGAAAGTAAATATCAGCCAGCTTATGATGATTTTTGATTCGTCGAAATCATTAGTCATTACCTGAGAAGATCAGTTCAAAGTAAGACAAAATCACTTTAGAGAGAATTAGTAGACTGTTTAGACTTCACATGTCCGATCATTATTTTCTATTAAAATAGCGTACATCAAGCAAAGTAAGCTATATTTGGACGTGTTTGGAAGAGAGTGAGGTAGACCAAGTAGATGCATAGAATTACATTTTATCATTCAACCAGATGCATTTATCTTCAGTAGGATACATATGTATGGGAGCGCAGCATACAAGCAAATATACATGCAATATTGAAAGGCACACAATTTAGAAAAAAAATAGAATAAAATAGTGTAAGATATTAAAAATAAAAATCTTAATAAACCAAGTCCAAGAAAATTGTTAGTATACCATTTTATTCATCTACTGAATACTATTATAGAGAAAAAAAATATCTGTAAATAGAAGTAAACTGATAAAACTGATATTAAAATAACTATTTAAATAACTAAATAACTATAACTAATAACTTCAACTATGGGTAATAACTACATTATAAGTGGCACAGGTGGAAAGCGGCTTTCTCTGTCTATTTGTTCCACCTAACCTGTAAATTCTTTTATTTACTTTCCACCTGTGCCACTTATAATGTAGTTATTATCCGTAGTTTTATTCTAAATCACATGCCCTTCAATATTGCATGTATATTTGCTTGTATGCTGTGCTCCCATATGTATCCTACTGAAGAGAAATGGATCTGGTTGAATAATAAAATGTAATTCTATGCATCTACTTGGTCTACCTCACTCTCTTCCAAACAAGTTATAATAGATGCAATATGCGAACCTTTAAAACTTAAAACATATTTGGACGTATTTATGCTAAAAGGAACTATGTGCATAGGGTTTACATGCAACATAGTTCCTTTTAGCATAAATACGTCCATTGGAAGTTAAAGAAGTCAAAAAGTCACAACGTCTGTATCTAAGTCCATCTGCAATCCCTCTCTTAAATTCTAATGGAAGACTTTTACTAACCTGTAATTAGTAATTGCATTATCATTGATGTCTCCAATTGATCACCAATTATCATTGTTTCTTTCTATGAATGTCTAGAACTCAGAGACGATCTCATTTGTTTTCTTTTTAGATGATTTACGCTGCTGATCCGCAGGCAGATTCTTACCCATGGATCCCTTCTACTAGTCATTGCCCTTACCCCACACATGCTGCATCACGACCTGCAAGTAAGTCTGTATATTGACTCAGCCCTCCACTTGTTTATAAGCATGTTAAAGATGAAACATTGAAGCCTCTGCAGTACCTAGCATTGACTGTTAAATTTGGACTGTAAAAGAACATGAACGAATTAATAATATGTGTGAGTTAGGAAACAATTTTTTCTTGTGTCGTATTTCCTTGAGAAATTATTCTACAAGAAAAAAACCGTTTCTTAACTCGCATGTATCATTAATTTTTTTACGTTCTTTTACAGTCCAAATTTAACTGACAATGCCACTTAAAAGAGAGTGTTCAATATTTGAAGTAAAAAACCTCTCCTAATCCATCTTCTAAATCATATTAGGCATTAACTGTCTCGTATTACGTAAGTGGAGAACATAGTTTATCAGTACACTTTTAAACAAAAAAATAAGTAAAAAGGAAAAACTAGAAAATAACTGTGATAGTCCTGAGAGACATGAAAGGTAATAAGTGAGTTAAATAATCTTATGCATGGAATATTAGGGAAATATCAACACAAATGATAATGTTTCTTCATGTAAGTATGAATCATTTGACACTTAGACACTCCAAGCCCTTGCCTCTATGAACTTCTTTTCTAGAAAATCTGAACAGCCAGACATCTGCTTGAAGTAAAAAAACAAAGTAGTAAAATTACGAAGTAAGTTTTTTTTTTTTTTAATTCAAAGTGGTGTATTCCCTAAAGGGAGGGCTTTTACTGCAGAATTTGTATCTTCTTTCAGTTGTAGACAATTTTGAATTATCTCAGCTTAAATTGACAAGTGTCAATGTATTCAAATTGATATGATGAAGAATTCTTGTATGTTTGCATCCACCAGTTTATATTTTCTTTGTATTCTTAAATTAATGATACTGTCTTGTGGCTTTTTAGATGAGAGTCCTGATGCACCTCCACCGAATAGTTACTTAAGGTTAAATATGCTGTATGGGCCCCCAGGGCCTTTAATGCCACCACCATGGCCTCCACATTCGCTGATCCTGCCTCCACCAGCCCCTGTTCCTCCTCCGGTGCCCCCTGTCACTCCCAATGTGGACCCGCAGCCACGAGTATCTCCAGCATCACCCTCCTCTTCGTCCCCGTGCCAGTCCAACACTCCTTCTCGTCCTTCCTCACCACCTCGTGGGGTAAATGTTCCTCCACCTCCCCCTCCTTCATCCACTCCTACTCCAACACCAACCTCAGCCCCTCCGTTACCACCACCACCACATTTCGCCCATCCTTTATCAGTGCCTGCAGTGCCCACACCTTCTCCTGCTCCTGTTCCTATGCCTCCACAAATTGATCTTCTGCGAGAATCAATCCTCAAGGAGATGCCTCATTACATGTCTAATCTTCAAGGATTCAATATTCATCAGGTACGTATTATTTTTCCTCATGCACATGGCTTCTGTAAGCTCTTTTTTAGCTGTAATTTTTAGCCTGGAGTATTCATGATCCTCACCAAGATATTAAAGAATGGTTTTTTTTGGATTGCCTAAATTAACAAATTCTTCTTATTAATTTGTAATTAATATTGTGAACCTTTATATTCCGATAGGGAACATACACAGTCAGGAAAAAATATCAAGTAATAGGGAGCAGGAAATTTTTATGTGCTGGATCACAAAGCTGTACTACATTGGCTAGCTGAATTCAAAATTCTGAACCTTATTAATCATTCTGTATTGTCTCAAGTCAGGGATTTTCTCAAAATTAGACGGGGGAGTTCCTTTCTGTTCTGAGTCTGTCCTTTACACCACTTGGTAAAAAGCACTTTAATCTAAACATTGTACAGTGAGATTCAAACTGCCCTAGAACGTAGTAACTAAGGAACAAGTATGAAGAGATAATAATCAAAACGTCATTTCTCAGGTCAAAAAAAAAGAAAGAAAAAAAATTGGGGAAAACAATCTACAGAGTGATGTTACCCATATATTTAATTTATACAATTTGAACAACATTATAATGACAAACAATGTGATTTAGTTTGCAACCTGCTTCATTTTTATTTTTTCCTGCTGTAAGAATATCAGTTGTGCCTTTAAGTATGAATGTCTGTCCTGAAAGTCAAGTCTTGTTACTGAATGTTACCTCGTCAAGAATCAAAATTTTCTTCCTGTGGTTGGGCCTGTTGCAAACTTTTGCTAGTGCAAAAATAAGAGTTGTTTCCTATAGATAATGCCTCAAAAATCACGATGGGCGCATCGGCAAAGTTTGAAATGCATTCATAATTTCACAATCTGGGTAAGAAATTTGCGTTTTTTTGAGCTTCCCGCTTCAAAAACAATACTACGGCACAGGTGAACATTTTGTTAGAAGAGTCGTTCCATCGTCGGCAATATTCATCATGGCCGACGCTTCCGCAGTACCGCGCGTGAATCGAGGAGCGTTCAGGGTCAATCTAGGCGGGCGAGGAAAATATGAACGTAAACACGCCGATTGTTATCTGGTCTAATCCTGTTCAGGTGTTATCTCGTCTCATCACATGTGTTTTGGCGAATTGGCGTCGGCCATGATGAATATTGCCGCCGATGGAACGACTCCTCTATCTAAAAGTTCACCTGTGCCGTAGTATCGTTTTTGAAGCGGGAAGCTCAAAAAACCGCAAATTTCTTACGCAGATTGTGAAGTTATAAGTGCAATTCCGACTTCGCCAATGGGCTCATCGTGATTTTTGAAGCATTATCTATAAGAAACAAATCTTAGTTTTGCTCTAGCAAAAGTTTGCAACAGGCCCATTGCACCAAGTATAAGGGAAAGTTCTGTGATGGTGTGAGAGATAGAAAGACTCTCTTTCTTTTGCAAATGAAAATTTTGCTAAATGCGAATCTGGGCAGAAAAACTCTACTTCAATTGGTATTCCACACCTCATAACTAGTTTTTGAGTCAGGAAGTGGATGGAGAAAAGGAGAACTTGAAACAGTCCAAGATTTATTGCTCACTGTACTGCCGTGCTAAGGAAGAACGCCGTATGAGCCAAACAATTTTTTTTTGAGTTAGACATGAATTTCTACTATTTGAAGCATCCTCTGTTCAGTGGTGAAGTCAGAAAAGGCGTATCTTCATTAGTTGCAGAGATACAGAGGGGGGTGCTTTCCGTATGTGCCGCATAGTGGCGATATTGCAACGATCGACTGCCGTGTGTCCAGGCAGCTCGGGACGCGGGTGGCACTCACGGCGTTTCTCCCCATGCATTGTGGACACACGGCACTCGACCCTTGCAGCGCTCGCTAATTCCAGGACTTACGGCAAGGTTCGGCCGTGGGCCACCCCTACCACCAACCCTTTTATCCGATTTCAGGGTTCCAATTATGCATGCGCTGATTTATCGCGATCAGTTAAGCTGTTTATCGTCCGGTGAGAACATATGATACGTTCCCGAGTGGATGCGCTTTTTCGTTTCGTCATACTCTCCGTTCAAAATGTTTTCCATAACAAGTTTTAGTTCGCGAACTCGGAAAATCGTGGATGCGGCACTCGATTTTAATTATAACGCTGTGATCTTTAAAGACAATAATTACGATACTTCCGCGTACGGATCCAATGATGTGCCTTTAGATTTAAGCATCCGGAAAAAATCGCCACGTTCTGTGCCATCTAGTTTGAACTGTCCGTCCCCTCGAAAAACTAAGAAAGCTCTCGGTTTGTCGAATTGTGTCGATCATTCACCGATCAGCGCATCTTATTTATGTGATATTTCATATTCTTTTCCGAAATCTCGTAGTGTTGACAGTGATGAGTTGATTTTATATTCAAGTGTTGGAGAGAACGATTTATTTTTTCCAAAATCTTCCGAGTACATGCCAGTATCCTGTGTTTCGGATGCTCCGATCTTTGAGTCTCCAATCATTTTGCCAAAGTCTGGTGTAGCCCCTCGTGTTTTATTTAATTCTCCCGCGGAACTCGCTTCACCTCAGTGCGTCGAAATCAGTGCAAATTTAACGGAAAATACACGTTGTGGAACTTCGAAAATGTGTGATATTCATATCGTTCAGTCAGAAGTTGTAAATGATCCTAAACTTTCCGTGATTGAGCCAATTTCTTGCGCACCGGATGTCGATTTTTTCAACAATCCGGACGTTTCGCTAAATCGTACCAGTCCTCATGACTTATTGCCTGTGTCTGATGAAATTTTCACAGATTTCGGTCTTAATTCTAGTGATAAGAACACACCATCCTCCGATGTACGTGAACATGCAACTGACATTTCAGCATGCGCGGAAAGAGCTTGATGCAAAAACGGCTTTTTTCGCCCCCCCTCTGGAAGTTCTTCAGACTTTGTCTATTGATTACTCATACTTGAGCGCTTCTTTTCCCAAATTTTCAGACCCCCAAAAAATTTTGGGGGGGAGCTAGGGGGGGTGGAAGTTAAAACCTGTGAACCTCGATATCTCTTGAACGAAGAAAGATATCGAGGTCCGGTTTGGACGAAAAATCGTCTAAAATTGCATACTTTAAGATTCCAAAGGTCAAAATCCCAATATCACGATTTTAAGTCCACATATGTGCTTTTTTTCCAGTTTTTAGGTCTAGAAAATTTCTTTTAAACGAAAAATTTACAAAGATCTCAATTTTTTATTTGAACAAAAACCAGTTCTTTAAATTGTTCGTCTTTTTCCGCATCCAACGAGTGGTCGTATAAGCTGGGGAACCGAACGGTTCCGGAGTTATGATCGATTGAAGTTTCCGCTCAACGCGCGCCGACCGATTTTCGCGCGCAAAAAAGTCGGATTTGACTGTTATTAGATCAGATTGAATGTTCAAACTGAGTAAAATGCTTTATTAGGGACTCTTGAGGGTCGCTGAATTCAGAAATTACCGATACTTCCAAAAAATTCACGTTTTTAAAATTGCAGCTTCGGACAGGACCACTGAGCGGCCGGTCGGCGCTCAGTGGGCCTCTAAAATAGCGCTGCGGAGCTGTAATTTTAAAAACGTAAATTATTTGGAAGTATCTGTAATTTCTGAACTCAGCGACCCTCAAGAGTCCCTAATAAAGCATTTTACTCAGTTTGAACATTCAATCTGATCTAATAACAGTCAAATCCGACTTTTTTGCGCGCGAAAATCGGTCGGCGCGCGTTGAGCGGAAACTTCAATCGATCATAACTCCGGAACCGTTCGGTTCCCCAGCTTATACGACCACTCGTTGGATGCGGAAAAAGACGAACAATTTAAAGAACTGGTTTTTGTTCAAATAAAAAATTGAGATCTTTGTAAATTTTTCGTTTAAAAGAAATTTTCTAGACCTAAAAACTGGAAAAAAAAGCACATATGTGGACTTAAAATCGTGATATTGGGATTTTGACCTTTGGAATCTTAAAGTATGCAATTTTAGACGATTTTTCGTCCAAACCGGACCTCGATATCTTTCTTCGTTCAAGAGATATCGAGGTTCACAGGTTTTAACTTCCACCCCCCCTAGCTCCCCCCCAAAATTTTTTGGGGGTCTGAAAATTTGGGAAAAGAAGCGCTCAAGTATGAGTAATCAATAGACAAAGTCTGAAGAACTTCCAGAGGGGGGGCGAAAAAAGCCGTTTTTGCATCAAGCTCTTTCTAGTGCGGGAGATGTTAATACATCTCAGTCCGAGACTGTGCGAAATCCTGAACCACCCGTGGTATCAGTTTGTGCTCCAAATGAAGTCGCGGTTACAATTTTTGGAAACCCTCGAAAACGTGGAGCTCGTAGAAAACTTTCAAAGGAGGAAGTGGCTAATGCAAAGCAGCAGTCGTTGAAAGAGAAACATCCCGTGTTACCCGGCTGCGATGACTCTTGCAGGAGAAAGTGCTCAGATCATGTACCAGAAGAGAAAAGAGAAGAAATTAACTTGAATTTTTGGGATTTAGATTGGGCGAGCCGCAGAAGTTTTATACTACGTTTGTGCGAAAGAAAAGACGCGCATCGAAGAAGATACTTGAATCAGCAGAAACAAAACACATTCAAGTATCATTTAGTGACTGAAAATAGTGTTCGGTATGAAGTGTGTAAACCCTTTTTTTCAACTACTTTGGGATTTAAAGCTACCAACGATCGATATGTGCACGATATCTTAGTGCCTACTACTCCAAAAGGTGTTATTCAACCGAAAGTGAAGGACAACAGAGGAAAAATATCACCTCCAAATAAAGTCCCGTCGGAATTAATCGCGGCGCACGTTGAAAGTTATAATCCGTCTATATCTCATTATCGTCGCGAACATGCACCCAACACTCGATATCGTCCAAGTGATGTTACTATAACTGACATGCATAAAAATGTTTTGCAAAAAAATCCCGAAAATCAAATTAGTTACGAACTATACCGTCGAACAGTGCGTAAAATGAAAATTTCGATTACAGTACTGGGCAATGAAGAATGTGAAAAGTGCGAGGAATTCCGTCTTCATGAACATGGTAGTCCTGAAAGTGGCGTAGTGATTGTGATGTTTGTACTTCCTGGCAAGCTCATATAACAATGGCGGAAGAAGGACGAAAGCTTTTCCGCGAACACGCTGACGCCCAGTTCGATCCTAAGGATGCGGTTTGTGTTTCTGCAGATTTGCAGAAAATTATAATGCTACCCCGAGTTGATTGCTTTAAATCAGTTTTGTTTATTAAACGCTTAATCGCTTACCATGAAACTTTCGCTCCGGTCGGTAAAAAATCAAAGTTGCATCCGTGCGCAGTTGTGTGGCATGAGGGAATATCGGGACGTTGGAAAGAGGACAGTATCAGTACTTTTCGCGCGTTTTTGCTCCAGCAAAGGGACTGTAAGCGTATTTACATTTGGCTCGATAATTGTGCATCCCAAAATAAAAATTGGACTCTCTTTAGCTTCCTTGTGCAAATGATTCATTCTCCTGAAATTGAATCGACAGAAATTGTACTTTTTTATTTTGAGCCCGGGCACACTTTCATGAGCGCCGATAGCTTTCACCATCAGGTGGAATTGGCGTTAAACAGGCAAGCTAAAACATACGATTTTCATGATTTTTCGACCGCAGTTAGTAGTGCGAATCGCGGGAAAGTCCATCTCATCCCCATGCAGCATACAGACTTTTACAACTGGGAAGATCACACATCACAGGCGAAACTCAAAAAAGCAGCTCAAAGATAATATGCAAACCTTAAAGATACCTTAAAGATATTATGCAAGTGAAGGCTGTGCGGGGTCATCATGAACTTTTCTACAAGAATAAGCATAGTGATGAATCCTTCAAGCCTCTGGACTTCCTGAAAAAAAATTCTGCCAAAAATGGAGGAATGCCGTGTCCTAAGCCATTAAAGAACCCACGCGGATTTCCAATTGAGAAGCAAAGAGAAATCTTATCAACACTAAAAGGTATCATTCCAGAAAATCGTCAAAAATTTTGGCTAGACTTACCTCCTCTTTCTTCAGAGTAATTTTGGAATGTCGATGTACATTGTATACATACTTATCGTATACATATTAAGTAAAACTGTCATGCTTTTTTCTTAGTCCAAACGGGAACAAATTGAGTCGATTTTGAACAAATATCAATATTGTATCAATTTTCCATATGGCGGGATTAGTCAAGTAAACTTTTCGTTGCTATAATTTTTAATTTCAAGTTATACAGATTAATTTTTTATACTCTTATTTTCTTACCAATTTTCAATGTAATATTGTTCCTTTTGTCTGTATATAATTTTCAAAAAAAGAGATATTTGATCTCTTCCTTTCTTATTTGGTTTTAAGGTTGCTCCATTAAACCTTTTTAAACCCAGTGGTTGCTAGAATGTAAGCAAAGTTTACGGTAAATTTAATCAATTTGTTTCGTTTCCATACCAATATCATTTAAATTTTGCGACGAAGTGTGGCTAGTTGCAAAAGACTTTCACTTTGTCTGATATATTTTCCTTCAGTTACACCTTATCAGTTGAATGATATAAGTTATTTCTGAGTCACCTCTATTGACAGCGGGGTTCACTTTCTTCAATTTATCCGGACAGACTTGTATGTCTCTATTTTTGGTCAATTCCTGTGTATCAAAGTCTAGATCGGAAGTTTTTTCATTTCCTTATTTTTTTAAAGGGTTGCGCTCAATGACCCATATCATTTTAAACTTGGCAATTATTAAGTTGCGTACCAAACGAGAGTTATTCTCTTTTGTTCTTCGACTAAAAATCGCTTGTTAATGTTCATGTGATTAGTTCCTTCTTGTTATTCTTCGTAAGTAAGTCATTAATTCAAAGAAGAAATACATATTTTACTCCTCTAAAGCATTTCCTCTTTAACTTATTACTTTAACCCACAGCTAACATTGAAGCTCGTTCCATTACGATTATTTAAAAACCAAGTTCTCTGACAATATCTTTAATTTTAAATTAATTATTTCAATTTTCTCCTCAGAACACATTTCAAATTAAAACTAATTCATACGTATCTCGATTTTTGTATGTTTTAAAATGCCTGTCCCATCTCATTATTTTATTAATTTTATACTAATATTTTCCCGTGAAATTTTTGGAGTATTAATATTCTTTTATGTTTAAACTTGATTAATAAGACCTTGAACAATTAATTTGTTTCCTGCAATTTTCTCTTTTCCTTTTTTATGAGCGTTCAAATAAAATGAGAGAGGGAGATTTCAAACGACGATAAAAACGAGATACGTTGTTTTAGTTAGATTTTTCATATTCTTAATTGGATTTGTTCCTTTGCTTATCTTACTCGATCCAAAAAAGGGCCTCAAATTAATGGGCCGCTGAATTTGCGTAAAGTCTTGACATTTTGAAATCAGCAATTTTATTCAAAAAGTTTTCCCTACAATGTCAGTGGAAAAAGGTATCAATTCTTGTTTGAACAAGTTCTAATATTATACTTTCTTTTGATATCTTTGAAGTTTAGGTAACATAAAGTAGTTTGGAAAGTCAGCGTAATAATTAAAAAAGTAATTTTATGAATGCGGAACAGTCCTCTCAAAATAGCAAGTGAAGAAGGAAATGAATTAAGGTCGCACACGGAAAAAAAAAAATTTTAGTAGGTTACCAACATCACGAGGCTAGTTTGTGACCACTAACATTATTTTGTCCACGCATAACTTACTTTTTTCATTATTTATCGCCACTTTTCAATTTGACATGCTCTTCATTTTAACAAGAAGTATACATGCGGTGAAACTACCAAACCACCTATCTCGTTTGCGGAGTTTAGTATCGCCGCTCCTTTTTTTATTTTAATTAAACAACATCATTCCTCGAAATTTTCTCAGAATTTGGTTCGCTCAGAGAGGAAAAATCCCGGAAGTTTTTAGGATTTAACATTGCGTAGTTTTCCATTTAAAAAATAAAGTGTTACAGGAAGTCTGCAACGTTGAAAACCGAGATACGTGGTTTGGTAGTTTTAGCGTCGATATACAAATAAAACAGAAAAATATGAATCTTCCAATTCCGTTCCAATTATTACTTGATACTGAATAATTACTGATCATTATTTTTACTGTTCAATTTCCTCTGAAAATTTGAAAATGACTCTGCCTCAAAACACGAAAGGTTAAATAAAATACTAGAAGAAATGATTTCTGCGGAAATGAACCTCCTAGAAGCGAATAGAGGCGAAACCCCCGTGAAGGAAGGCTTCACTGCCCGATATTTGAACACGAGTTGGCAATGCTGCCGGCACCAGCCGGCAGCGTTGGAGGCTCGTTCTCGGCGCGAGAGTGGACACACGGCAAGATTGGTACAGTGAAAGGAACCTTGCCTGCAAGGGTAGTTTGCCGTGAGTCCGACATACTCTCACTCTTCTGCGATTTTCCTGGAAGTGATTAACTTTTTGCGAGTGAACGAAGCGATAATGGCCAGCCAAGGGTTCAAGCTGTCCATGTGAGAAAACGAGAACCTAAAATTCGCAAATCTCTCAGAGAGGCATGCCGTAGACTTTGAACGTAAATATCTCAGTTTGAATCTGATGGTTCATACGGCGTTCTTCCGTAGCACAGCAGTGTAGTCTTATCATATCTAAACCAACTCTTAATCCAGCAAATTTTTTTGTCGCCCTTTACTTAGATAATTTATCTTGGCTAAAAGTGACTCTGAAAAGCATTATTCATCGTTCCGGAACCTGTGATAATAGACCACCTGATAGGTTACCATATGAAGCACCACAGCACATGTTTTTTATCCTAATTTACACTGAATATGATGATGAGTGCATCGATACTTTCCAAATTTAACTTGTAAGTTAGAAAATAATGGCTTTTGTCTATTTAATTTTCCCTTCCCACTCACAGAAAAACTGGAATCTGATCGAGTCAAACACTATTGTAATTACAGTATATTTTATGGTTGAAAAACTTCTCTGTGTACCAACTTTTCTGTGACAAAATTAAACGCCCCACATCAGAAAAGGAAGTGTGTATTAAATCAAGCTGTAATTTTTCGCCTCACGTATAAGTTGATTTCAATGCCTTATTCGGTGTCTCTTGATTTTTGTTTTTTTGTGAGCAGAAAGTTGGAATTTTCTATCTATAATATAGACTGTGAACATTTATTTCCCATTAGTGAGGTAATTCTGAAAGGTTCCAATGTGTTCAATGGGTTCTGTATGAAACTTTGATCGGAAAGCATGTGTTGTTGTGCATAATTTCTCACCCTGTCCAGTGGTCCATTAGTTGAAGGTTAACATCATCTCAGTAAAACTCTGATTGCTCTAAATAATGCATTTCAAAAATATTTGTGTACAGTCCTGTATCAAACTTTTCTTATAGAGGATTATTTGTTCACAGCTTCAAGGTATGCGTGATGAAGAATTAGGTGAACTAGGACTCTCCCAAAACGCTATGCATCAATTAAGAAGCATCATAAATCGTTTGCAAAGTATCAATGGTGTAAATAATATGAACCTAAGTTTCTTATCAAAACAACCTCCTGCTCATGTGTCAGGTCCCCCTATTCCCCCTACTCCTGATGTAAGTGAATCATTTTTTTTAGACTTAAATCTCTCTTTGCTTTCACACAAGCAGTCCTGACTGTTCAGTATGATAGTTTACCCATGTGCGCAGACTTTGTTGTTGGCAGTGGGCCACTGTTGAGTGTCCATTTAGTTCAAAAATGTCATTAATTGTTCAGTAAGCTTGCTCATGGGACAGCAGCTTCAGTCAATTTCTGTTTGAATTAACTGATTTTGGTCTCAATTTCCAGATTTTTTGTAATCTCCTTTAAATAAACGATAGCTCCATAGGTAATCAAGTTTTTTGTTACAATCCCCAGTGTAGGTCTCATTGCGACAGTTCTTGTACGTTTTAAAACCTCCAGAAATGATGTGACCCTGTTAATCTACCCCTGTTCCCCAGGAGAGAGATTGATTTTTGGTTCATTTTTAGTTTTTTCTTTAATTCGTTACTTATTTGATCTTCATGAAAAAGAGAAATTATATTCTTATTATACACATATATGGTGGCCCAGACCCACTGTACCAGGCCTCTTTCGGTTAATTCAGGTCGAACGAAGTGTAGGATCGCGGGGGCGAAGAGGGAATCGACCTCAAAAATTTCATGGTTCTTGAGACCCCCCCCCCCCNCCCCAGCGGCTCCCCTTAGGAGGTAAAAAGGAGGTCAATACTTCAAAGTTTGTCAAAATTTTGAAATGATTTAATCGAGATTTGAAATTAAGGAATTGTTCAACCTAATTCGACACCATATAATCCAAAATCGACCCATCTATGTTCAAAATACTGACCCCTAAAGGTGGGGGACAGAGCCCCCTTTCAAAAAATGCAAGTTCGCCTAATTAACGTAGACTCAGAAAAAAGACGTTTTCACGAGTAATCAAGCTCAAAGAATCCGAATTTAAGGGTCCTATCGTCCTCAGGGGCTTCTCTGATGGGACACNGGGGGGGGGGGGGGGGGATGCGTCGTTGGTTGAATTTGCAAGTTCAGCCCCAGAGCCTCTGGGTGCGACAGGGCCCTCAAATTCGAATTCTTGATTACCCTTGATAACATCTTTTTTCCGAGTCACTACATCAATTTGGCGAACTTGCATTTTTTGAAAGGGGGCCCCGGCCTCCACCATTAGGGGTCAGTATTTTGGACACGGATTGGTCGATTTTGGATTACATGTTGCCGATTTAAGTTGACATTTTCCTTATTTTCAGGTTTCCATGAAAAATAATATCCAAATTTTGACATAAACATCGACTTTGAACTACTGATCCCCCTTTTACCTTCCAAGGGGGACTGGGGGGGTCTTGAGAACTATGAAATTTGGATTCCTTGGGGTCGATTCCCTCTTCGCTCCCGTGGTCCTGAACTTCGTCCGACCTAAATTAATCAAAAAAGGTCTGGTACAGGGGATTGCCCTGTAAGAAAAATTTGATTGAAGTAGAAGCACTGTCCTCCCTCCCTACAATATGAGGTCAGTGATTATACAATGAATATATTTATAAATGTACTGAAAGAACCTAGATAATTACTAATTGTACATATAATGTAGATGTCTGTACTCTGATCATAAGTTACGTACACATAATAATGGCTTATAAATCTTGAAATTAACTAACATGTAAACTTAAACTAAGGTTAACTAAAAATTTTCCTCATGTCTCAGGTTGGAGGAGCAAAACCAGACAATGGTGCGCAGTGTCACTCATGTTTAACAATTGGTACCCGCCAACATGGTGACTGCTCCTTGTCCCCAGTCTATTGCACAGAACAAATGAGAGCTTTATACATAGATAACGAATCAAATTTAATTAGTTCTTCAGGGTCTGATAATAGTTCTCCTCCAAACACACCTGAAACAAATGGTAAGTTCTGGTACTTTTTGTCTAACAGTGTTAATAGCATGCATTTGTGTCTACTATTGTCTGAATTGCAGGCTGATCATTGGAATTTGATGGAAAAAGCGTTAGACAAAGGAAACAAAAAGCTAATGGAGCTATCATACTGTTTTGAATCAGGTGGTCGTTTAATACTAAGGGTGAACTGATGGACTAACCACAGAATCATTCATTGGTTTTTCCAGAATCGCTCCATTTTCCACTTGCAGGATTGCTCCGTTTTTCCTTTGTCTCTTTTGTCTATTGATTCATCTATCAAGTTTCATAATCAGCCTACAAGGGCGGATCGAGACTCCAAAAGTAATAGGAAATATCAGCTCATTAGTGATTGAAATTCCAAAATATTTTCAATCAGAGTCAAAAAGTTTTTTGCTCTAATGAGTGCCAGTACAAGACTGAGGGGGAAGGTGTTTAGCTCAGGCTGCTTGCATTGGAATATTAAGTATTCATGATGGCGTTTGGATGCCGCCTTGGATTTTGCAGGATGCTAAGTTTGGCTCACTGATGAGTGTGATATACTGACAAGGTCTAAGAAGACCCAAAATTATAGATCTTTTGACGTGACCTCAACTTAATATTCCAATGCAAGCTGCCTGAGCTGAACACTCCCCCCTCAGTCTTGTACTAGTACTCATTAGAGCAAAAACTTTTTGACTGCTTGAACTTTTTTTGGAATTTCTGGGCTTCGTTTACCCTGCGGAATGGTGTGCACCCAGCACCATTTCTCCACCTTGTTACATACAGTTCGGGCCATTTCTCAGTGTTTTTTCTCGTTGGTGATTGAATCGGTCCATTTCAGTCGTTTTTTGCTGTGTGAAGGAAATACATCGGTTAAAAATTACCATAAGTAATTCCCATGAGACTGGCCTACCGTTATTTTTCTCGTAATTTCTGTTGTCTGTCAGCCACTGCAAATTATAACGTCGAAACTATATCTTCAAATTTCATAGATTTGCCAATTTAATCAAGAAGTTTCTTTGCTGTAACCTCATTCTTTCATCTACCCTCTGAAGATATGAAAACTTTCTAACTCCTCCTTAATCTAAATTGTGGGAATGAATGTTCTTCATCCTGCACCCGTTGAAAGGCATACCTGCAATTTTAAAAATTGCGCTGATAAGCGGGTATAAAGTGTGAAACTGAAGATTGCTGTGTGTTGATCTTCAGCATATACACACCAGTGAAGACTAGTAACATCACATAGTTATAGATGATTAGAACAATGTTTTAGTCGGAAATGTCGAATTGCTCCGTAGAAATTGGCATCCAAAGCCATATTGTAACATCTCAATGGATCAACCCCCAATTTCTTTCATTGTCCTCTCCACCTGATAAGTGATTAGCCCAGGAAGGATCGGTCTTAACCTTAAAATATCAGTAACTTGCTTTCTTTATTGCAGTTGCAGGTTCTGTAGTTGGGAAAGACACTACAAGCACAGAGTCATGGAGTGGGAGTAGTATAGAGGACAATAATAGAAAAGGTGCTGTTGACATAAACAATGGAGGGGAAGAAAGGAGGCCTATCAATCCGTCTCCCGTTCCAATCAGCAGTATTCCAGCAAGAGGCCGAGGAATCACCAGGGGGACAGGGCGGTCAGGTCCAATGCAACCGTTACCCAGGACGCGGTCTATTAATCCAAATCTTAGGTATGTTTATTCCAGTCAGTGCTTATCGAAACATCAATAATCTTAAACTGCATATTTTCTTAAAAGAATAAAGAGGGGGCCTTTATCTTGAAACACTGCTTCTGAGATATTTATTTTTGTAGTTTTATTGCTAAAATGTAACAGTAGGTGAACTTTCATGAAAGTTCTTTCAATGAAGCACAAATAGGAAGAAATTTATCTTAAATTTCTCAATTTGTTTTTTTCCAGAAAGAAGCTCAAATTTTTCTTGCTTATTTCGTCACATAACAATTTATTGACCCTTATTCTCTTCGTAATTTAGGCGTAGGCTCAGTCTCCTCTGGGGTGGAGAAAACGTCTGACTTCAGGTTTAGAGGATTGCATCAAATATCAGGCATGGTGAGTGATTAGAGGAAATTTACAGAAAGGGATATAATTTTTCTTAAAACTTGGGAATTTCAGCGGTGACATTGAGAAAAATATGACATTCTAGCTCAAAATTTAAGAAAATTTGAAAGAGTGATCTTGAGGAAATGCAGCAAGCAACCATTCTCTTTGAATATTCTGCACCCTTGCCTCCCCTTTCTCTCAAAGTCTTTTATGTAATAGTTCTATCCTCTCCTATCCCACCTCCAATATCCCTATTTTCGGTGTTGATTATTTTCTTCTCATTTTATCCTGATTTAGCAAGTAAGAAAGATTGAATAAACTTGATTAAGATGATCTGCATGGTCATGGTAGCAAAAGCAGCAAGGATCAAAGTGCTTTCCTTAGACGCCATCAATGCTGTGCAAGTAACATTATTTCATCTCTTTTTTTTTTTTTTTGTTATTTATTTTATTCAAAGCAAATCACACAACAAATTTACAATGAATAGGGCGGAACTGCCTTGAGGCTTACACTTCGCCCTTGTGAAAACATCAAGATTGAATACATTCTTAAAAAACTGAAAACGCAGCCATAAGACAGGGCAAGCTGCGAAGAAACCATCAGTCCGATGGCGCTGGACGGAGAGAGCACGCCCTATGGGTACAAGAGCCCAAAAAATCAGTCCCAAACAGGAATATTTCAAACTACTTTCATCTGAAGTCCGGACTCCAGACCAGTGCGAACTCGTACACCGGGACTCCCAGCCCCAAATAGGAAAGACGGCGATACTACTCCGAAGAGTACTGAAAACGTTCATAAATGAATGCACTTATTACTGGAGAAAAAACTAGTCCCGAAAAAATTTCGCCGAGAGAGGATCCGGTCCGTGCTCCTGCAAACGGACCCGCTATACAGCAATATTTCAAACTAATTTCATAATCCGAAGACGCAGGACACTTCGCGAAACATCACGATGAAAAAATCCCTTGAAGTTGTGTGGGTTGGCCTGTCGACCACACTAGTGTGTCTCTGCCCCACCGCTTGATCTCCGAAGAGGATATGGGCTAACTGGGATACAGAGTAAACAGCAGACCGATTCCGGAGCTAGCAAAAACCAGTGGTCGAAAACGTTCTTGATTCTTGGGCATAAGCCCTCGAAAAGAGTCCGGGGAAAACCGAGCGAACGATGAAAAACCCCGGTGAGGTCACCGGCGCCCACAGGGAGTGTAAAGAGCTCCCTGTTTCGTCCGATATGCCTCGACACGCCCGAGCACAGATGTAAATACCCCGCGCCCGCTCTGCCCCGCCCGGCAAAGGGAATTTCTTTTCCATCCATAACTTAGACGAACAAGTAAGGAGGAAACATCTGAATACTGCAAGGATGCTTGCGAGATGTTTATCGCGTACGCGATAAGATGTAATCGGCGCACAGAACGCGAAACTGGGTTACAAAACCGAAGTTATGTAACCCTTTCTGTGAAGAAACCGAAAAAACGGCGAAAACTTTGATGAAAAGTCCCGAAAAACTTCGCACCAACTGCATACTGGTGAAAATGCACTTTACGATCGAAAAGCCGATTAAAAAAGGAATTTCTTGATGTAAAACACCACTCGAAAACTGAACTTTTACCGGGCGGGGAAATAAACGAACGCGGAGGCAGCGCGGAGAGAACCTCTCGCGTCGCCGGCTCAGACGCGACTCCATTTCATCTCTTTATCTTCATGTACGCAAGTTTTTAAGACATTTTTGCTTCTCATTACAGGAAGCGTAGTGATAATGTATTACCTGTGAATGGTGGGGTTGCACCTGACGAATCTCGCAAAATGTTCCCGAGTGAGTCACAGTTTCCATTCAGTGCTCCCAACCCAAACGGATACATGCAGGTCTTCCGTTCCTATCCAACATTGACCCCTGATCAAATGTTACGACAAGCATATACATTTCAGCCCAACAGTGAGATGCTCTACCAACACTATCCGCCCCCAACCTTCATTCCGGGGCCACTAGCGTTCCCCTCTATGGTGCCACCAAAGGTATCCTGTTACAACTGTGGTAGTCAAAGTCATAATGGTCCAGAGTGCCCTGATCCAACAATAGAAGATGTTGCTAAGCAAGGTAAGCTGCACTTTTCTGATGAACAAGTAGGGCCCATATTTCTACTGAAAATTATGTTATGTGAAAGAACTGGTTGACAGTTAGGCACCACCAAAACAGTCAATAAATTTATTTTAGTGAATGATATTTTAGGAAACCATGCCATGTGCAATGGGTGTTCTAAAAACTTTTTGGTCTCGGATTTTGGCTCCCAGTAAAAATTAAAAAAGAAAAAGAAAAAAAAATCATACATGAAATTTAAGAGCCTCGCCAAAAAGGGGTGTTTTTTCGCCCCTTTTTGGATACCAGAGTTGGTCAACCAGACAGAGGTCAAGTGAAAGCTTATGATAAGTCAAACTTCCTCGCGCGGAGGAGGCCTTGAATAGTGAACATGTACCATGCCATGGTGATATTCAGTCATCAGAATCGTTATTTTTTATCAAAAAAAGAACAACGATTATAATGAGCAAACCCTGGTAAACATTTGAAAAATCTCTTACTTAAACTGGTGTGGGGAAAAAAATCAGCCTGGAGTTTACAAGCAACAGCTTTTAATGCAGTGTTAGAACTGGGGAAAGAAGAGAATAGACAAAAGTCACATCATGCTTTGTCTTAACATAAAATATTGTAATGGATGAATCATACGGAGCTAATCCAGATGTTCTTTGAATGTCTCTGCATCCTTTATCCCCTGAAAAAACAACTTGCTCAGCATTTTGGAGACATACATAAATACTCCAAAGTATTTGTGCGCTGAGTTTTATACATTTCGTCAGACGAACCAGGTAGTTTATTCGGAACCCAAGTATTTTCATAATTTTTGTGCATCTATGAGTAATTAGCTTCAAAAAATAAAAATTTTAGAACTATAAGGCTAGCCTATAATACTTTTTTCCAACACTCATACTTTTTGCCCCTCATTTCATATGAAGCTTTAAATGGTATTATTGAAGTGTATAAGATTATTTAATTTTTTATCGTCGACTCGTTCTCTCTTTAATTCATGCTATCATATCTGCTACAAACATTGGCCACGTACAGGGTGGTACAAGGTACAAGGCTACAAGGTATGTTTCTGTGATGGAGACCCTCTTCTCCCTGGGCGTGTTACACACTACTGGAATGAGTGTTTAGAAAGGTCTAAAATCTCTCTTGCAGAAACATATAAAATTAAATTATAATTATCTATCTCAGGTATACAATCATTGGAAACCTTTAGCCTTGAACCGTAGTCTTAACAAGTACTCTGTGCCCCCTGATAGTTTTTAACTCAAACTTTGATTTTCCTTTCCGAACCAATCATTAGGAGTGCTTCAGGATGTAGACAATAACAATCAACAGGCCAGGTCAGGTAATGACAGAGAGCCTCTAATTTTATGCTCTCCTTCTGTGGGTCTTTGACACTCTCTGAGTGCATTACATGAAAGTCCAATGACACCGGATTGGAACCTCTTCAAAGATTTTCATTATATTACAGCTCTTAGCGCAAACAAATTTTGCAGTAAATTCATGCCAGGAACTCCTTCCCCCGCGCGATGCGCCGCGCTGGCCTACCGACCGCTCACCGCAGCGGTAGCCTCCCTCCTCCTCCCGGCGCCGCGACGCCCGTCCTACGCTGGCCGGCTCCAGGGCAGCCCCACCACCCGCACCTCGTATCGCGCCGCGCTCATCGGCTTCTAGAACACCACGCAGCCGCGGCCAGTGGTTCCTTTTCACCCCTCTCTCCACACAGTACGTTTTACCACCAACATACCACCCGCTCAACATACCACCCGCGATTTTTTGCGGAAATGTCAACTACCGGCCTACTGATTGAGGAACAACAAACCGCGAAATCGGTAGTTCAGTCGTGTTTGGGGAAATGCGATTTTTCGCTTTTTTGGCGGGAGTTCCGGGTCAAGGCGCTGCAAAAGTCAAGTTAGGCTGTTTTTGTGGCTTGTAAATGCATATCCTATACATTTTTAGTCAATCAAGTGTCAGTAGATAGCCAGAGTGTCTACAAGTCCGGAAAGTCTGGAAATAGTACTGATTTTTGAAAGGCGGTCCGGAAGCACTGAAAAAGTACGGAACTTCCGGAAGGAGGTCCGGAATTGTTGTCTTTATTGTCGCAATTTGAGCAAAAAATTTAAATTTTTGAAATTTTTCGAATTTCGTCAAATGAAGGTACTGAAAAAGTACTGAATTTTTCTGTTGAGGAGGTACTGAATTTCTTGGGAATGTCCTGAAAAAGTAATGTAAAAGTACTTAATTTTGGCCAGACTGTTTTAGTAGACACCTTGATAGCTAATCGTGCATATTGCCCAAAATACATATCCTTAAATCCACGATTTTCGGGTATTTTGGGGTCTAGTCAAGGAGAAATCCGAAAAAAAAGGGTTAATCCGGAATAAATTGTTAAACAAACTTTTCATAAACAAAATATACGACCAAAATTACATAAGAAATGATACCTCACTTGCCTTATCACCAGGACAGTTGAAAAATTCACCCTCTTGTCTTTCAAAATTGGCTGCCATCTTGGGTGTGGGGTACCCCCTTTGATCGGGGGACTTTTTTGACTTCATATCTGAAATCTACGACCAAAATTACATATGTATTGACACCTCATATGACACTGTATGCGTATTTTAAAAACATCGAAATCCGAGAGGCCTTATTATGACCGCCACTTTGAAATTTAGGCACATTTGGGGGGGGGGGGGGGGTCGTTCCGGAATCGAACCGTTGTAAACTTTTGGTATGTTGTTTCAGAGGACCTACTGACGACGTTTACTTAGGAAAAGTTTGTGAAGCAATTTCTTCCAGGTTAACCCTCTTTTTTTCGGATTTCTCCTTGACTAACCCCCAAATAACCCGAAAGTCGTGGATTTAAGGATATGAATTTTGGGCAATATGCACGAATAGCTATCTACTGAAACTTGATTGACTAAAAATGTATAGGGTATGCATTTGCAAGCCACAAAAACAGCCTAACTTGACTTTTTCAGCGCTTTGACTCGGAATGCCCGCCACAAAAGCGAAAAATCGCATTTTCTCAAAAACGGCCGAACTACCGATTTCGCGGTTTGTTGTTCCTCAATCAATAGGCCTTCTAGTTGACATTTCCGCAAAAAAATCGGAGGTGGTATGTTGACCGCATTAAAAGTGTTTAAAACGTACTGTGATCCAGTTTCTGCAAGCATTGCAGCCGGTACCGGGGAGGCTCCCCTTTCGTAATCCCAAAACTTTCTAGAATTTTCCTAGACATAAAGAGGGCGTCACATGGCGACAAGTAGTATCTGTTTCTGGAACTTTCCAGAACTCTCTCGAATTTTCCTCATTCAGGAGACCGTTAGTAAAACGATGACTCTCATTCATCCTCTCCCGAACTTTATAGAATTTCCTCGGACTTTTGTTAGGTGCTATGTCTGACATTAGCTTTTCTCGAATTTTTTCGAACTCAATCAAATTTTCTCCAGGCTATGCGCAGTTAAATTGATGCCCTCGTTGAACTATGTTCAACAATACTTAAATCATACAATGATTTAACTGTAAAACATATAAAACTGTAATAATTTTATTAGTAGTTTTTCATACCATTTGCGGAAAGGTGGACAGGATAACAGGTTATTGAATAATGACCACATACAAATGGGGCTTGGAGGATCAGCTGAGTCAGCTTGTTGCCAAGTCTCAACAGCCCTCGCCGTGTTCTTTCGGGAGCTTTCTAGAATATTCTTTGACTTTTAGAAGAGTGTTACAAGACGACGGGTGGCATTTATTTCTGGAACTTGTTCGAATGTAATCAATGTGGTGGTGATAGGAATGTGGTTCGAAGCGAGGTGGTCCAGGGGGCTTAGCCCTTTGGCTAGTCGTTCGAGATGCGCCCTCGACGACTAGTGGTATTTAAACTTGTGAGCATCATTTTTTTTTTGTATTAGTCAATGTTCTTTTACTGGAAAGTGATCTCAATAATGTTATCTACTTATAATCTTGATTCTTCAGACAAATAAATAATTAAACCGAGTTTAACAAAAGCGCCTCAAGTCGCACTTTGGGAAAAAATTAGTTGGGAGGAAATAGTTAAAATTGAATTGAACGAGTCGTAAATTTTCTCCGCTTAAAAGTTCAAAGTCAGAAAAAAATACTTTAAACGTAAAAATTTCATTAACCTTTCTCCTAAACATTGTATCCTATGGAGGGATAAGACTTTCAACTTTTCTCTTAATCTCAAACTTGTTGCAACTTGGTGCGTTTTTGCTAAGTTCGGTCGAATTGACGTTTTACAACTTTTTTGTATGCGGGAAAAACCTTCTTTTAACTTGGTGTGGAACTCATTGGCATCAATATCTGTCTGTTCCTTCAATTTGTTTGATGGTTTTCTTTTCATATTTGTATCGAAAATTTCCTGATTTTCATCATTTTTTACTCTTGCAGGTCAGTATAGAATAGATTATAGTCGTTTTGGTGAGTGCCCTCCTGCGTCTGACAAGTGACAGTGTCTTGCGTTTGTCGGCTAAACCAAAAGGTACGCCAGTTTAACCATTTTTAATTTGTACGTACACTTTTTGTATAGTGCTGTATCATATAGACTTTGCCTTAACTTGTATATTTTACAATGTATTATAGTCATACGTACATGTCATTGAATTTTGAGAAATATTGAAGGGGCTTTCGTTTTCATTATTTTCGAGCTGTCCAAATCCATTACAAAACGTCCCTTCAGTATTACAAAGAAAAGGTTGCTGTCAGAGACAAAACCAAAGATTATGGAGTTTGTACTTTTTATTGTTGCTGAAATGATGCAATTTATTTTTATTTGTATGCCTCTTTAGAATAAATGGTTAAAGTTGACCTGCCTTGTCACCTCACAATTTCTGTTGCTGCAGTTCAGCTTGCAAACATACGGCCTAGAAATAGATAATCAGTGGAAATTCATTCATTTTGTTCTCTAACATATCTATTGCTTTTTTTCCCCCCCCCTTGAGCTCCGGAATCTTTCCTGTCAAAGATAAATGTTTGGAAATAAAAAGGCGATTTTTTGGAGGAAATTAAAATTCAGTCATGCACTAAAAAACTAAGTGTCACATTTTTGTTGAAAGATAAAATGGACGGAGTTAAACAGAAAGGAACCAAGCCACATGGGGATAGAACCGAGAAAAAGAGGCTTAAAGTTTAGCTCCTGCATAAGACTGATTGTAAAAGTTAAACTTCAAGTTCAATTTCTGCAAAATTTGCTCCAACAAAAACTTAAAATTTTTGGCGATAGATAGTAGAGCAGTGGTTGAGTTCAAAACCACTCATAACTCAATTTTTTCCAAAATGTGGGTTGGTTCCTTTCTGCTGAACTCAGTCCAAATGTTACACTGTCCTTTGTCTTCACTTACTTCGAGTTGTTTTTTTGCACTGCAATCCTTTTTCAATTCTGGCCGTGAGGAAACTTTTTACCATGAAATCAATATCATTCTCGCCATGGAAAAATATTTATTAGATATCCCTCAATTGCCAGATGGTTTTTTGGAATATCCGCCAATATTTAGACCCCAGCTTGCATTTGCGGTTTTTTGCTCTCTAAAATTGGTTGGCTAAGTTTTGATCCAGCTAGCTTGTTCTGAGCCTCATGTTAGTTTGGCGTGTGTTTCAAGAGAACACAGAATCAGAACATGAAAAATTAATATTATCTACCAGGTTCCTCGTGTAGTAAAGATAAAAAATTGATTACCCTGGCATCCAATTAATAGGATAATACGATTGCCAGATTTTGTAACTCTGTTGCAAGTTCACGTTGCTGAATCTGTTGGGTGGTGTGACTAAGTTAAAATTCATGAACATGTAAACTTTTCTGAAGTTTTCTCTACACTGGCTGTGTCAACTCTTATTTCTTAGCAGCCAGGGAAAGTGTTTGAATTGTTAGTGGGTAGCAAGTTCCAGTTTCCCTCAAGGTTCGTCCTGCCAGGTCAACATTGAAGAGAGAGAAAATGCTACCATGATACACTGTCAGAAAACCTTGTAGAATGAGTTACTGTCTGTAATAGGCTCGTCCTCTTTTAACATTCATTGGACACTTCGACCAATTTCTCCAAACTTTGAAAAAAAGAAACGGAATGCAACACACTGTTTTTAATACTTAAACATTGTTTTAGAAACCCAGAGAAATCCATTCGAATTCTCTTACTTCTGAGTACAACTCTAAGAAATTCGGACTTTCGGCTTTCCAGCAGTATAATATTTTTTTAGGTAGATTTCATCATGTTTTTTGACCAACCAAATTCTCAAAAGTGTGTGTATGTTTTGCTGTCTGTAAGTTTTCAACTCCCCCCTATCCTTGCCCCTATCCTCAGCCCCATTTTATCAATACATCTTAAGGCACCAAAAACTAGAGGCTGGTTGATCACTCATGGTTCCTTTTCTCCCCTTCCTATCTATGTTAATTTTTATTCTGTTTTAACATACAGCTGTGTCTTGTGGTGTGGTATCAGAAGAGGAAAAATCAAATAAAATGGCAAGAAAACCTGCTTTTTCCAGTCCTAGCAGCCGTAGAGAGAGCAAATGTATGTTTTGTGCAGGTTTCTTCTTTGCAGACAGAAATAAAATATTGATTAATAAATTTTTCACGCGTGAGACTGAATGCTTTTTGGACTTTTTTGCGTCAATGCCCATGACAAGTGAAAATACAAAGATCGTCCAGAACGAAAGTTTACCAACCGCATACCTCCTAAACTACAACAATTAGAAACAGTCCTAAAAAATAATCATGAAACCACTAATTTCAGTCTCTGTCTATTCAGCTGTTTATTGAGTGAAAGGACTTTAAATTTCTTCATGAAGAACTTTAGACAAGAAGTTTTTATCTTAGGATTGTGAGAACCTTCTGAAGGCTCAAACCGGGCAGCTGGTTTGAATTCGATTAGACAGTTTCAGTTCGGAAATTCTGAACCTTTTATATGTAGTTTTTCATAATTTGGCAGGTTTTTGCAAGTACTATAGACTTCAAGGGTTGCTTGTGAATTCCAGCAAACTTCCATAATTTTGCAGGTGCTCATATCTGATCATGGTTTCTCGAGAGCGCTTGCAGTTTTCTGCAAAATTTTTCTGCAACTGCAGTCTTGCAAAATTTTTACAATTTTTCAGGCACTTGTGATTGTGGTCTTGCAGGGCTTTACTAGGTTTTTTGCTGACTCTCATGGGCAGTCGGAGGTTTTTAAGAGTTTTTCGAGGACTTTTACCTAATTCCTACTATTTATGAATAGAACAGAAAAAAAATGGAATGGAACAGACCCCAGCCGAACAATATGTGTAGAAGTTTTGCTTTTCGTCAAGATTTTTGTTTGATCACGGTTTTTAGCCGTATTCTCTTGGGTTCAAGGACATAAACCAGCACAATGCACATGAGTAAAAAGTTCTAAGCGGAAAGGAAGTATTGTACATAAAAAAACTTAATCCAAAATTTTGACCGTGACTTCCCATTTACAGTAAAGTCCAAAATTTCACAGGATGTCACCCGAACTGTAACTGCTAATTTCTTCCTCACTTAATTGCGGTTTAGATCCATCCGGTATTAAAGTAAACATGATCTCCCTTGCAAATTATTTCATATCAAATGTGTTCTGCTTTAGTTCACTTAAAATCCTTGTAAGCTTTTAGAGCTCACATATTGATGATGCACTGTGATATTTTAGATTTATCGCAGTCAACATCATCAATCCTGAAATTTTTTAACTACATATGACTGGTGCTCTGCTATATTTTACATGAAGTTAATCTATTATTTAGTCATTTACTGGCGATGAGCTATAGATGTTGTAGCTTTCTGTGCTTACAGTGTGAACTTTTGGACCAGCACCAAGAGGAGATAGGCCCCGAAAAACCCACTTGTTTGTCCAGTGTTTTGCAGGATCGAATTTAAGTTATACAGCCCGTTGTGAAGTTTAGAGCACTAGCTTCATGATTATTTTTATCGATTATCTCCAGCAGTCTTGCAATTACTGTAGGAGATATTGGGTAGGTAAACTTACTTTCTGGTCGACCTTTGTAGCTGTTTTTTCACTCTGAGACTAGCAATTCACAACTCTAGAATTCAGTGCTGCTCAAGTTGATACAGTCTTTATAATGCATTTGAAGAAAGCACTTTTAATTTTGCCCTACTGTTTGTTAAATCAATTTTAAAGGAGTATATAGAATATGAAAATTGTGAACAGGTTTTGTGATTTTCCTCATTTTTTATTTTACATTTGCAATTGAAGGATCTTTATTCCACAACAAACAGAAGAACTTAATTTATTAAAAATTTAAGATTTGTCATATCTTGCCAATCATTCTGTCACAATCTGTATTCTAACAAAAATAGCCTCAGAGTTCAGCATGTCCATAGGTATTCTGAATGAATTTGATTTGAGGCAAAGTTGGGGAATGCGTGGAGCAAGTATTCAAGGCCCAATACCTAATAAGTATGATGAAATGTGAAGAAATTACCTAATCAACATGCTCAAGCAGCGCGTGGGATCAAAAATGGGGGGGGGGATTGATGCCATTAGTTTTTTTCCTTGCTTTTCTTACCCTCATTTAAGTGCAATGTCAAATGAGAATGGGTCATTCTATTTACAGTACGGTTAAATGATGTAGTCTAGCTGACTCATTGTGTTCATGAATGGATCTCAGGTAATGGGAGAAAACAGTACTAGAAAAAAATTCAAAAGAGATTTGGCCGTATCAAGCTAAAGACTACTTTTCTATTATCTTTGAGCTTTCTATTATAGGAATCCATGTTGTGCATCGCAATATGTCCATGATTATGAATAGAAATAAGACTTGGAAGTCAGAAAAATCACCATTAATGTCAGTCTGGTGATGTCCACTGTTTTGGCGTCAAAATCATTAGTTCAGCTGAGTTGTGATCCTCCTATGTACTGATTGAAAGCAGTAGGCTGTAGCTACTTTAAAGAACAAAATATAAAATTGAAACGCTGTTCGATGAAACAAAAATTGAAAAGCCAATAAGCCAAATTTGTTACTTAATCGCAAGAACGATTTGCATTATTTCCCTCCATGTGTCATGAAATAAGATGCATGCTGTTCTGAAACTATTATTTGTCAAGAGAATTGCGTTAAAAATCACGTTCAAGAAACATCATGCTAAAAATGTAGACAGCTTCCGTATATAATTCTTATAACAAGTAACGTACAAAATTACGCAGGTGCCTATCTAGATACCTAGAATTTGAGAAACAGTCTTTCTGGTGATTTCACCAAACTAACATTTTGAGGTAATACATTTTTCCCGCAAATTTACAGTAACAAAATAAAACGTAACATTAAGGATAGGTTGAGAGTGCATCTGCAGCTGTAAGAGAAAAATATTCTAACACATTTTCTACCAAACGTTTTGAAGGAAAACAGCGTCACTAGACTGACAATGAGTAAGTGAGACACTCCAAAAATCATGAATTCGACCGAGATCATGATTTATAACGGAATATACATCAATGTACCAAACCCCCATCGACTCTTATTAATCCTCCATCACTAATTCACACCCCAATCCCCACTATAGCACTGTAAACTAAATGGCCACCAACTAAAACTAAAAGCGTCACGAGACAGACTGAATATTGAGGTACATGCTTCAAGCCTCAAATTAAATCGGAAAATATTGTTTTCTGGTGTTTCAATGCATATTACATCAAACAGTACTCAGTCAAGACTTAAAATAAAATAAGACGAAGCTCGCAAAAGGGGCTGGTTCATTTATATAACAATTTGATACATTGACTACTCCCCCCCCTCCCCAGTTACGCCTCACCAGACTGACATTTTCACTGTTCTGCACAGTGAATAAAAGTTTTAGAGTTATTTTCATCTTCTGTTAAATTTTTCGTGCTTGGTGTGGAGTATCTCTACGCAAAAAACCTAACATCAAAAGAAAAATTCATAATTAAAAGTTTTGAGCGGCTAGTTATATGTCTCTCCCATATTTATCAAACTTCTAAATATGTTGGGAAGACGGAGCACAATTCTTTTTTGAGGATGCCTTCTATAATCGTCCTGAGGGAGTGTTCTGTAATTATGATGAATTGACAGTAATTCTGCCTGTAGAGAGTTGAATTCCAATGTGTATGCCCTGCAAACTAATTGTAGATCCGCTGGAAGTACATCTCAGTTTGTCAAACAAGGAAAAGAGCCTGCAAAAATCCCAGGTAGCAATGTTTTCATCGATTCCTATGTAATTTTTGACGCTGAATCCGAATTGCAACTATGCGCCATTAAATTCGGACCGGAAAGTTGCCAAATTTGCCAAAAATGCCCTAAAATCGGCATTTTTTGCGGATTATGGCCTGTAACTCGCCAAAAATTGATCTGACGACAAAATTAGTTATATTTAGAAATAAAGCTTGTTAAATTTCCTATAAAAAGGTTTTCCTACATTTTTTGCCTAAGGGCAAAATTAAGCGCGCTGGCAGGCGCCTAACTTTGAAAAATGAGCAAAAATTGCGTTTTTTTGCGGATTATGGCCTGTAACTCGCCAAAAATTTATCTGACGACAAAATAAGTTATTTTTAGAAATGAAGCTTGTTAAATTTCGTATAAAAAGGTTTCTATACATTTTTTGCTTACGGGCAAAATTAAGCGCGCTGGCGGGCGCCAAACTTTGAAAAATGAGCGAAGATTGCGGGGGTTTTTTTGCGATTTTTGATTTATGTCTCCTTTTTTACCCGTCTGCAGAGTAATTTCTGGACAAATTAAGTGAAGATAATAAAATTCACACTACATTGCAGTGTTGCCAAAATTACCTAAAATTGTTTGTTGGCGGTTTTGGACCATTAATTGCCTTACTATCCGTCTATTTGTTTAGTCTCCATTTTGTAAAGCGGGGATAATGAATCGAAATCAGCGGAAAGGAGGATAAATAATTCTTTTTCACATTTTTTAAAGTCAGTTAATGAAAGTGAAACTCAAATTTCTCTCATACATCAGACTCCACCGCCAATTCCAACAGCATGCTCAGCCCCCTCTGCCGACATTAAAATGGCAGGGCCATCGGAGCCACAAAAGAGCAATCGCCTACGAATTGAAGGAGGCCATTGAATTCAGCATTTATTGTTGACATGGAATAGGCCTGCAACCTGCACCGAAAATCATATTGTAAAAAAAAAATATATTGCTGATTTAACAATTTTGTGGTTAAAAAAAAGTTTCCGACATGTTTCAATGTAAATTTTACAAAAAAAATTGATAATTCAACCACCCCCGTGGTTAAAGTAGCTTTCCACTATTTTAGAATGCATTTTTTTAACGATTAAATTGTCAAATCAGCAATCGATTTTCTTCCGTGTAAAAGATTGGATTCTTCTTAACAGCGCTATGATTTAAATTTTCTTGGCCGCTGATGATGGAGTAACTGAATGTTTGTGAATGTACGCGTGCACGTGTTTATTTGTAAGGCAATAATAATTAAAACAAACCTACCATTTTTGAGAAGAGAAATTTTTAAGAATTTAAGTTTCATGTAAAACTTGGTCTCAGGTTGTGGGGACACCACGCAAAAATAAAACGCGCCATGTACTGGACCTCTTGGGTGGCGTGCGGAAGCAAGTACTAATAATTAAATTTATATATTCTGCCTTAATATGTAAGTTACTTTTATATAAAATGAAGTTAATCGATTTTATATAAATTGCCAAACTAATTCATACTTTGCATTTTTCGATCAATGCCATTTTCAACGAGCTCGATGTCCTGGCGCAACTGCACTACAAGTGTCACGATAGAGCACTTTAGTGGACGCTCGACCCTCTGAAGTGTCTCCACCTCATTCTGATGAACAAAAATGTGACTAAGAATTATTTCATCCTCCTTTCCGCTGATTTCGATTCATTATCCCCGCTTTACAAAATGGAGACTAAACAAATAGACGGATAATAAGGCAATTAATGGTCCAAAACCGCCAACAAACAATTTTAGGTAATTTTGGCAACCCTGCAATGTATTCGGCTCCTTATTTTTTACATCGATTCATGGCACTCAGTGTGAATTTTATTATCTTCACTTAATTTGTCCAGAAATTACTCTGCAGACGGATAAAAAAGGAGACGTAAATCAAAAACCGCAAAAAAAAACCCTGCAATCTTCGCTCATTTTTCAAAGTTTGGCGCCCGCCAGCGCGCTTAATTTTGCCCGTAGGCAAAAAATGTATGGAAACCTTTTTATAGGAAATTTAACAAGCTTTATTTCTAAAAATAACTAATTTTGTCGTCAGATCAATTTTTGGCGAGTTACAGGCCATAATCCGCAAAAAATGCCGATTTTAGGCCATTTTTGCCAAATTTGGCAACTTTCCGGTCCGAATTTAATGGCGCAAAGCTGCAATTCGGATTCAGCGTCAAAAATTACATAGGAATCGATGAAAACATTGCTACCCGGGATTTTTGCAGGCTATAGCCCCTTTCATGGCTTATTTGCCTGTACTATTGATACGACCTGTTTAAGTGCCTGAAGAATTTTATTTATTTATTTATTTTCTATGAAACCAATGCCTGGGTGAAACCCAATATAGAAGCAAGAATATGACAAGGCAACATACAGCACATACAACAAGGCAACAAATTGATACACTACCACTGTACAGAAATTGATTACAGTAAAAGATAACAACGAATAGGCTCTCAAAGCCCACCGTTTCGCTGAAAACTTACAACGTATGAAATGTAGACATATCTGCAGATCCAGTTCTAAACTAACCTGAAGCCAGGAGAAAAAAATGGAAGTAGGTTCCGGAATGCCCTTTCAAGAACTACTTACCATCCCGCAAAGAATGAGCAACCTCCCTCATTTTAAACCGACCTAGTAACTCAGGAGAATATAAAAGCTCATACTAACTCAAAACTGAATATCAAATCAAAATATTTATTAAGAGACAAAACAGAAAAAACGGAAAGATGTCTGGAAATTTCTATATAATTATGGTTATAAACAGTCACGGATGATCCCAATTTAAAAGATAACAAGCGAAGCAAATAATGTCGAGGCAACTTCAACTTAAAGATATCATTTTGAGTACAAAGGGACCAAACCTCTGATGCTAAAGTTAAGTGAAGAAGAACCAAAATACAATGAAGATGCAAAATTGTAATTTTTTGAATAACTTTCTTTGAATTTATCTGTCATAAGACCCACGACCAAATTCAGAGCCGGAAACTAAGTACATTCGCTAAAACTTCTCTAGGGTGTCACTTACTGATGTTAAACCACCCCCGGGGTTTTTGCCCTAAATTAATCGACTGTTTTCTCTAGTCTATAAACCCTATATCATTGAAAGCTGGTTAGATGGTACCCTGTCAATTCTTCATAGAACACTCCACACGGAAAACAGGAAGCTGCAACCACAGACGGGTCTTACTGTAACCATTTAAATTTTTCGAGTCATTTTTTCTGGTTTGTATACAGACCAATTTTAAAAGAAATTTCATGCTCCTAGGTTGATAAGACCCGTCAATAACAAACCTACGAGGATCTCTCTGTTTAGCGGCCATCACATCTACTGATGATACAAGAGGGTTTGAAGAAGTTGATGCCGAGATTAATGAGAACAATGATAGGTAGAGACTAATTTCAGATTCATTTGGGCTGGACATGCCCTGGGGTTCCCTGCCACTTGCTGTTGGTTTTTTCAAATCTTATTTTTCAAATTTGGAAAACGAGTAAGAATTTACACCTCCAACTAGAAAGGGAGTAGGTACGTACAAAACAGGTCATTTCGGGCTCGGGGCGGATACCTCTGAGACTTGCCCTATTCATTCACCAAACAA